GCAGGAAACCAAGAATGTTCTGGGAGGATCAGTGACTGCTGGGAGATGGAATGCCCTGGGATTCCCAGGGCTGAGCCGGGGATGGTGACGTGTCCAGGGTGGGGCCTAAAGTGTGGGGGGGTCACTGGGGTGAGAGGCTAGAGGCTGACCTTTGGAGGGAAAAACAAAAGTTGCGTCTGGTGAGTAAGAACAGGGGACGGTGGGGAGGGGGGTGACTGCCATTGGGGGGAACAGGCCAGGGGGCAGAAGCCAGGGCCCTTCGTGGGCCAACGAAGGACCACGAGTGGGCGTGCAGGGCTGGGCAGAAGGCAGAGCCAGCGCAGGAAAGGGGCTCCTCCACACCCCAGCCCCGGGCAGTCACTAGCGGGTTGACCTCAGGGGCCGTGCGCACCCTCCCCCGCTCCCAGGGGCCACCCTGCTCCTCCAGGGAGAGGGGGACCAAGGTCTCAGGCCTCTCGTAGGTCCCACGGGCTCACAACAGTCAGCCATGGGTCGGGAGCCTCGCCACCTCCAGCCTCCTCTAGGCCCCTCCTGGGGCTCAGCCGTGGCCCTGGCATGACCACAGGCACCAGCCCAGCCGCTCACCTAGTCCCTGGGCTCAAGCCAGGAGCAGAGCAGACTTGGGGGTGCCTGGTACGCCCCAGAAGGTCTCCCAACTCCTGCACCAGACACCCCTGGCTGCATGGGGACCCCCAGCACCTCTTCTCCTGCTTGGCAACTCTCAGCCACCCTCCGGCTAGGGCCACACGGGGCACTGCCCCATGATTCCAGCAAGTTCCCTGCAGGCAGGTGCCCGGGCACCCGCAGGCAGGAGGGACAGGCTAACTCACCCACAAGCCCAGGAAGGGACCATGGGCCAAGGCAGCCCCGTGTGCCCAACACCAACCCTGGCGACCGAGACGGAAACCCCCAGGCCCATCACAGCTCACTCCTGGGAGGCGCTCGGGCCAGGACAGGCTCTGGGTGGAACCACGTGCAAGCCCAAGCCTGACCCGTCCGGGGATTTGGAACGAAGCCTGTGTATACAGTTAGGTGTCCCCGTGTTCAACAGAGTGGCCAGTTCAGAACCAGCTCTGTCCAGGGTTTGTCCGGAGAGCTGTGCCCTGCCCTGCACCTGCCCCGGTGCACCCTCCCTCCCTGCGGGTGCCATGGTCAGACTCTGAGCCCCTTGTCACAGGAGGGTCCTAGCTGGCCCAGGTGAACTGGCCACAAGGAGAACCTCACAGCACATCCATCCCACTCAGGACCCAACGAAAGCTGTTGGTGAAGGACCCCCACCCCCTCCCCC